TTCCCTTGTTGTGGAAAGTGTTATCCGTGTGATTTATGCCACGAAGAAGAGGAAGACCATGAAATGAAGTATGCTACACGAATGGTCTGCGGCTTCTGCTCAAGAGAACAGGTTTGTCAGTTTACCCTGTAGATTAACAACACCAGCTGCCCTCCGGGTCTTTTACCTTATTTCAAAATGGGACGTCGCAAAAAACCTTTTGGAGGATAGGAATTAGTAACTTCGGGCAATATTATTGATAGATAATGGAACGTGATACTATCTTGCTGGCATTAGCCCTCTGCTATCTACGGTCATCTCACATCAGCTCAAGTTCCTTGGCCACATTTTGTGCATGGAGAAGGAAGAACCCGCTAACATCTACGCGTTGTTTGAGACCTCCTAAGGGAGAAGACCCCAAAGAGACTGCATAAGTCCTTTTCCAGCCAAGTCCAGGAATGGATCGACCCCAAAAAGCAAGAATAACATCTTACGCACTGCCGAAGACCATGCCAATTGGAGGTGACTTACTGTCAACTGCTCTTCGGTCCACCGACGATGATGATGAGGATAATGATAATGATGATGACGCGTCCTAAATATCTGCATTCATTCGCTGTTTTATAGCACAAGTAGAACAGAGCATGTCATGAGTTGAAAAAAACTTCGTTCTGGTTTTGTTTTACATCCCTGGGTTTTGTGATGGGCTAAAAATCTCAGTTTGTTTCCTGGGGTCTCCACTCAGTATGACATTTCCTCGAAACGTGATTGTTTCATATGATTGTCACCCCCAACAGCCTGCTTGAGTAATTACATCAGTTTTTGAGAAATACGTAAACCCAAAAATAATATGCGTTGAGGCAACAAGCATCTATTTTGCAGCTAAGGAAGGTAACATCTTACCAATTCCGTATACCAGTTTTTCAAAGCATTGCACATTGTAATTGTATCGTCTTCCTGTGTGCCTGTAATACTTCCAGTACTCATCGATATGTTTTCAATTTTCCAGCCTTATTCCCAACAGCCTTGCAGTGGTTGTAAAGCTGCAGTTACCAAGTCACGCTCAGCACATTGGGAAGGGGGCAAAGGATGCCGGGATAAGATCAGTATGAGTAGGTTAGTGCACGTCCCTGTTTTTTGAGCGTCTATTTCAGAAAACTTTCTAATGAAGCAGGACAGCTCTGCGACCAGATCGGCTCCAGCTGTCTGCCTCAGAGTGATCTTTCCTCATCCAGATTTGGTAACAGCTGGGACCAGAGCAAACCATTCACTAATGTCCTACTTACAGAAGCGCCCTCCTTGTGTGAATCAGGCCCCAGTTGTTCAAAACGTGGATACCGCTATCCACTGGATAAATCTTTATCCAGTGTATAATGCAATTGGTTTCCCAATTACTTATCCACTTGACAGTGATTTATCCGGTGGATAGCGCTATCCAGCGTTTGATCAACCTGGGGCCTTGGCTTTATCATCGTTTTAAGATACATTTATTTTATTATTTTTTTTAACGTTTAGAAATGATAACCAAAAGTACAGCCAAGCGGGGAAAACAACATCACGCAAGTCCCAGAAACGTTCTGAAGGAAAAGGAAAGGGACAGAAGGGGAAGTAACTGCTTAACTTGTCATTTGTCACCATCAAAGAACAGAGTAACCAGGGACTGATTAACCTGCGAGGCTATACGGTTTTTTCGGCTCAAGTTTCTAGTTTCACTCGGCCGGTGAAACTACCTTATTCTCCTTTATTTTCGCGGGACTTAAATTTCGCGAAAATTTTCTCGGTACATTTCGCGAGTCTTTAATTTCGCGATCGCGGAGAAAAATTGTGTTTGCAGGGAATTTAATTTCGCGAAATTGACGATTAAGTGACTTTGGTTTTTCTTTTTTACAAAAAGTTTACGTTAATCAACAATTGAAACAAAACCAATATGCTGTCCCTGTTGAGGTGATATGTGAAATGGACGATACACCAAGGAACAGGGCAATAATGGAAAGATACACGGCACTCGTAACTATACATTACAAGGAGCTGGGACAGGATGGTCAATTTGACGACTGTACAAAGAATGTGTCCGAGGAACTGTGCGAAGATGATTACTCAGATGCCGAAGAAGAACTTGAGGCGAATCTTGACACTGAATAACAGCTAAAGTTGATAGATGATAGCTCCTTGTACTAACACTTTGGGTTAAAAATTGTTTAGGACCCTTTAAAACACAAATACATGATGTTTCTATGTCCATTAAATTTCGCGAGATCAAAGTTCGCGGTCGTTATTTTTCGCGGATCTTAAAGTTCGCGAATTTTTTAAAATCGCGAAAATCGCGAATTTAAGAACCCGCGAAAATTAAGGAGAATAAGGTAGAAACTTGAGCTGGAAAAACCGGATCACAGGTCAGGGACTGATAAAGTTGAGCCGGAAACAAAATGGAAACTCCAAATAACAACTGCCCTTTGCTATTTTTATTGTATGTACCGCTGTACTGTATCATGGTTTGCAATAAATAAGTTGGATGTGAAGAAAAGTTGTTTTCATTGATGAACACTGCAATGAGCGAGAGTCAAGGGTCGAGGGCGGTAGCTACCGGTTCGCCAGTACACACCTCTCGGGGGGGTCCCACATTTAGCGGCTCACCTATGCCTAAAAATGGTCCAGTACCCCCCCGGCGAGACGTACCTGTGCACCTGAGGATAAAGGGAAAAATAATCATAAAAAAAGTTAAAAAGCAAAGGAAGTGAGCAGAATGAAAATAGAAGATAACCAGGAGCTGAAATATGGAGGACGCTTTAACNCTATGTCCATTAAATTTCGCGAGATCAAAGTTCGCGGTCGTTATTTTTCGCGGATCTTAAAGTTCGCGAATTTTTTAAAATCGCGAAAATCGCGAATTTAAGAACCCGCGAAAATTAAGGAGAATAAGGTAGAAACTTGAGCTGGAAAAACCGGATCACAGGTCAGGGACTGATAAAGTTGAGCCGGAAACAAAATGGAACTCCAAATAACAACTGCCCTTTGCTATTTTTATTGTATGTACCGCTGTACTGTATCATGGTTTGCAATAAATAAGTTGGATGTGAAGAAAAGTTGTTTTCATTGATGAACACTGCAATGAGCGAGAGTCAAGGGTCGAGGGCGGTAGCTACCGGTTCGCCAGTACACACCTCTCGGGGGGGTCCCACATTTAGCGGCTCACCTATGCCTAAAAATGGTCCAGTACCCCCCCGGCGAGACGTACCTGTGCACCTGAGGATAAAGGGAAAAATAATCATAAAAAAAGTTAAAAAGCAAAGGAAGTGAGCAGAATGAAAATAGAAGATAACCAGGAGCTGAAATATGGAGGACGCTTTAACTTCATTCCGATAAGTTTCCAAAGCAAAGACAGTGTTTTCCCCGATTTTCACTAGCGAAAGCCGTAAAAGTTCTTCCTGATGACCCGAAGAGAGATTATCACCCCACCATACTGACTAGGCTCGATTTCCGCCGTCTCCCGGGTCCAGTCTTTGATCCTCCTTCGGGGGGATGAGTGCGGGCTCATTTTCCCGAATAGCGGCTGGTAAACGTGCTTACATACTGACAAGAAAACAGAATTTCAGCCAAGTCAACTCCCATGTCACCTACATGGAAACGATTTGGGAGACGGGGTAGGGTTAACCTGGAAAACTTTGCCTACCTCTGGAAAAATCCCAGCTTCGCCTCAGGTCCCGCCCTCCCTGCGATCATGCCCCCGCTTTTTTATGTCTCTGTTCTAAAAAAAAAAAAAAACAAACATCAAAACTTTCGCGCACTTCGCTGACCCTGGGCTCCACAGGTAAACCAAGCTCGAAATATAAACATCGGCGAACATCGACATTGTTGCGTAACATTTGAAATATAAGGATTTGTATGGTTAAAAAACCTATTCAGCCTATTGTTTTCGTAACTTACGAAAATGAAAGGATTTCAATAAAAAACAGCTTACCTTTCATAAAGTATGTGTTACGTCTCTCCTGTGTTGTCCATGGGCCGTTATGGGTTGTACTGTAAAGGGTAGTACAACACATAAAGCGGCCATAAATCGTAAATCGGACGATGGACAACACAGGAGAGACAACACACATTTATGTAAGGTAAGCTGTTTTTATTGAAATCCTTTCATTTTCGTACAAATCCTTATACTTTAACCTGAGATCAGGCCCAATTTTAGCGGTTCTGATACATTCTCTCCAACGGCCCCTCGTTTTGCCATGCCCGCCGGAATGTAATTTTCAAAGCGAAACGAAAATAGAGCCTGATCTCAGGTTATTATACTTCGAATGTTACGCAACAATGTATGCTCGTATTTTGAGCTTGGGCCACCTGTGCAGACTCTGACTATCACAACAGCAGCGAAGTCCTAGGAACTAGTCAGCCAAATAATTTCATCATGGCGGATGTTGAGGAGTCACTTGGTATCGGCGAATCTCTTTCGGTCAACAACGATCAAATAAACGATATTATCGCTTCATTACCTGAGGAAGAAAGGGTTTCAAAGAAAGATGACTTGAAAGAGGAGAAGAAAATACTCACTGAAGAAGATCCCGAAGACCAAATATCGTCTCCACCTGAAAGTTTGCGAGTGTCCGACGTCCGTATGGCAAGCAAACAAACAGGCGAATTAGCGACAACGAACGGTATTAAGCTGAATGGAGATGCTACAGAGGAAAAGTTACCAAGGGAAGAAAATGTATTAGTATCAGAAAAAGACGATGATATGTTTTCAAAAAAATTGGAACAAGAATCGAATTTAGAACTGCCAGATACCAAGTCTGAAAGTAATAATACTAGTTCAGCTGTTTCTTTTGAGAGTTCTCATGCTGACGGAGGAAGTCACAGGTCTCCGGACAGAAAAAGTAAGGCTGAATACAGAAAGATCAAGAGTGAAGTGACCGGCGAGGGTGAAACGTCAGAAAGTGAGGATGATGATGAAACGACAGAAAAAAACGCCTCAGCACATGCCATGGATCAGGAGGCAGACACGTGGATGGATTTATTAGGAAATGGACTATTGAAGAAACGGGTAATCACAATGCATTCTATTTATTCGGATTGCTCTCATTATATGCACAGATCAAGACCGGTTTCCACCATTTAAAAGAAAACAGTTCAATGGGGCATCTGTATTTATCTGCACCCCTATCACCCAATCTGCAGAGTATGGCAGGTGCACACGCAAGTTTTTTAAATAATATATAAGAAATAAGGGCCTAAAAATGGCCTTGCATGTGTAGATCTCATCGAGTTCTGTCATACTCTGCTGACAGGTCTTTCACCAACGCCACCCCTATGGAAGGCGGGATTCTGACAGATTGTCCTTGTCCAAATTCAGAATCTGATCTCCCTCCCCCATCCCCCGCCCCCTCCAATATAGGAATGAGTTAGAGACTTGAACACCTCCTCCATAGNTGTGTAGATCTCATCGAGTTCTGTCATACTCTGCTGACAGGTCTTTCACCAACGCCACCCCTATGGAAGGCGGGATTCTGACAGATTGTCCTTGTCCAAATTCAGAATCTGATCTCCCTCCCCCATCCCCCACCCCCTCCAATATAGGAATGAGTTAGAGACTTGAACACCTCCTCCATAGTGGAAGTGATTCTAAAGGTCTTGTGGACATGCAAATAAAAATTTTTTTAAAAAAACTACTCCTTAAAGTTATTATTTTTATTAATGAAAAAATTTTACTGACAACAATGCTAACTATTAAAATCCTATTTACAATTAATTCACTTGAAAAAAAAAAAACTATTCATTCAAAACACTATTTACAATTCCTGTTGATTTAAAAAGCACTTAATTTAGCTTAGAAAGAGTTAATTTAACTAAGAAAAATTTATTCAAATTAAAAACATTTCATTTCAATAAAAAAAAAACTGTCAGCCTCTAAAATTCAAAAGTTTCTTTCAACTGTTAAAAAAAACAGAAATAATAATAATAATAATTCTAGTACCTCTTAGTGATTGTAAAACTGACATATGAATCCAAATAATTTTCACGATTCTGACAGGGTCCATTTTGCACCTCACTGAAAATACCTTCCGTTGTCAGGGTGTAGATAAAACCTGGCATGTTACAGTTTTTGACAAAAAAGGAAATGACTTGTTAAAAGTTAAAATAAACATGTTTTCTGTTTTGTCAGCTGTGATCTTTGCTAGAAGTTTACACCTTTGGTGCATGAAAAAGTCATGTTTCTCCTTTTGATTCATCCATGGACTACTCCACCCCCTTTTAGTACAAAATGCGGTATAGTCGTGCTTTGAATATGAGGGATTCTATTAGAATGAATTTAATCACCCAAGTTCGATATATTAAAATTCTTACTTGAATCCAAAGTTTTAGGGACATAATTGCAAATTTTTCATGACTCCATTATCTTACAATTCTTAGAAGAGACTTGAGCTCAAATAAAACCAAATCAAATGTAAACAAAATAACCAGCAAACCTCAGATTCGTCTTAGAATTTTAATACATTGAACATGGGCTATTGACAGGAGAGGTTAATCAGTGTTAACATGACATTAAAAGGTGTAAATTTAATTCAAGTACAGGTGGTAATATGTGACATGTTGCCAGAGGGAAGTGTTGGATGCATCAGCTTCATGGCCTTGAATATTGAAGTACAACTCATGTAGAAGAATTATGTAGGAGAAGGTCACTTCAGCCAAAAGCCCCAAGTAGAATGCATCACTTAAGAGAGTGGAAAACCTTCAATCTGTCCATCTAATAAATAGTGTCTATTAAACAAAGTTATTTGTCAGGGCAGGCTTAATTCATTTACTCTGGAATAATCCGTTAAAACAAATGGTTTTCTTCGTTGTGTAACATCTCAGATACTGAAAGAAGGAAAAGGGAGAGATACCCGACCAGACAAAGGCCAAGTGGTTACTCTACAAGTAGCAGGACATACAGAAGATGGTAAAGCTGTTGACTGGAACAGAAGTCTGGAATTTATCCTTGGTGAAGGAGAGGTCATTCAAGGTTAGCCCTATGACAACTTTTCAATTTTTTTATTCTTCTTACAAATACAATTAATATTTCTTCATTTTCCACTTTCATGCAAGTGTGATAATATTTTAACACATATTATGTTATTTTCTTACTCCATTTAAGATTTTAAAAGGCTATAACTATTTGCAAAAGGCTTGAGACAAAGTCTAACTTGTTGTTAAACAGAGTACATAAGACTACCTCCCTTATCTACCTCCCTTGTATCACTGCAAGATCATGGTGTTCATAGCTTGAACAAATAACTCTGAATGGGAAGAGGAAGGGGGCTGTGGATTGCGCACTTAATTATTGGATCTGCATTGAAGTGAAAAGTGTTTTGTTTCTTCTTTTTTTAACTGGTTGTCGCTTTTCATGGTTTCTAAGAGATACAACTTACATTATATTATCATTATATTTTCAGCCTTTGACCTAGCAGTAGCTTTGATGGAGTTGGAGGAAGTGTGTGAACTTGTAACAGACTCCAGATATGCCTATGGGAAAGCTGGAAAGTATGTTGTTTTTGTTTGTTTGTTTGTTTTCTTTCTTTGTAACACTGACATGTAACTGTATCTCTTCTTTATCTGGGTGAAATATATGCTGCGTAATACCTACATAAATGCAATACTAGATATGACGGAATTGTAAACTGATACCCTTGAATTGCACCTGTGGCTCGATCTTCTAAATGAAAAGAAATACAGGAGCCTTTAACCCTTCAAAGAGATTTATGAATAAATCAGAGCTCATTGTTTTCTAGACCAGAGGCAAATCCACCTATTCCAGCCGATGCTAAACTGACCTATGAGTTACACCTGTTAGCGGTACGAGATGGTCCTAATATCACAAACATGACTGACGAGGAGCGAATCACCATTGGGTATGTCAGTAGGCCATGAAGTCAGAACGGTTTTAAACGTTGTCTCCATATATACTGATGTATAGGCCAAGGAATAGACTAAAACACTGCGGTCAGTGCTGTTTTAGAAAATGCCCACTAATTGATGGAGGCAAACATTGCGGTGGGAAGGCCTTCTGATAGGCTGGAAAAACTGTTAGGATGGAATTTCTGGGTTGTGGCATAATGCAGTGAATTTGGCAAATTCTCTGAAGTAGAGTGGCCATGATAGAACACTTACTAATATTATCTAATATTATCAGAAGAAGTTTTGCAATTATTGGAACTCTAAGAGATAATTATCAGGAATAAGAGGTTGTTTCATTATTTGTATTTGAAGATTTTGCAGACAGCTTACTAGATTTTATGCTCTGTTGTCTCTGATCCATAAGTAACACGTTTTGAGGAAAAAGAGAACAAAACTTAAAAGTCACAGAAAAGTTTGTATGTCAACAGTATTATTGCCTGCCTTATTTCCAGGGAGAAAAAGAGAGAAATTGGTAATAATCTGTACACTGGAGGAGACTATGCTGGGGCTATTAACAGTTATCAGAGGTAAATTTGCTCTCAACTTCCTCCTCATCATCATCTTGATCTTTGCATCCAATTTCAAATTGCCCAAATCTGCCCACCAGTTTCATCACTGATAGCAAAATTACTCTTAGATTGTCTTTGCCTAATGAATCAAAATATAATTTCTTGCCTTGCATTTTGTGTTTTCTTGGAAATCAGAAAATACGAACACATCTATTACACTCAGAAAAGAAATTCTTTAACTTTGACCACTGTTATACCATTGAATAAATTGTAGCAACTAAGGCCGTTAGCCTGACCTTTATTATTGTAATTTTACAGAAAGAGAATGACACATGAAATAGCTAAATGTTCTGGACCTCCTTTGTTATTTTAGGGCTATAAAATACCTCTCAACGTCTACTGCTGAGGTTGGTTTGTTTATTTGTTTATTTATCAACGATAATCATTTCATTTGTGCATATTCATGTACCTTACCAATATAGTACCAAGGATTAAAAACAAACTTAACTTACAAGGGAATAAAATTAATAATGTTTTAAACATTAGGACACTGGAGCTTGGCCCCAGATTACTGGTTTTCAAAGGTTCTTGGCTTGTGAAAATGTGTGCTACTGTGTGAAAAAAGAGAAAGTGATGATAATAATTCTTATTATTTCATTTTATCTAATAGCAAGTTCAAATCTTGCGGGTAAAGTGCTGGAATAACATGGCAGCTGCCCAGTTGAAGGTAAGAATATATTATATAATAAACTTAATTCAAAAGTTGAAAGAGCTGGTTAACATAAGCAATTTGTACAATTTTCAGCTCTTTGCAAGCAATATTGAAGAAAATATTATTCAGTCATTAAAAACTTCAAAATTGTTGCAAAAGAAAAAAGTTAATGGGCCGTACATCAAGGAGCTCAGTACTCAGAACCTGTGAATTCTAAAGTGCCCAGCATTAGATTTTTATGAAACAACTAAGATATTTGAGTTGGGCTGGAGCAAAAGTTAGGTGCCAGGAGCCACAAGGTGCTGGTAGTGCACAGCCTTGATGCATTCCTGGTAAAATTTTGATTTTTAAAAGAAATTTGTTAGAAAAATGGTGCATTGGGCTCAAATTTTCAGAGATAACTAGTAAATATTGCTATGTTCTTACTAGATTCAGAGATGGTATTTTAATAGCTTGATAGGAAAATGATAAGCATACCATAAAATTTCGAAAATAAGCCCCGGGGCTTATATTTTTCAAAGGCCCTTTTTGAGGGGCTTATATTCAGAGTTGCATATCTACGGAGGGAAATTTGCATTTCAAAATGGGCTAGCTTGTAGTGGGAAGGAATTTACCATTTTTGCTTCGTTTCACTTTGTATTCGAGGGCAAATTCCATGTACAACCCCCATGGGGGGGGCTTATATTCGGAGGGGCGACTTAACAGAGGGTTTTTTGCATTACGATTTTGGGGGGCTTATATTTGAAGGGGCTTATACATGGAGGGGCTTATTTTCGGAATTTTACGGTTGTCAAAATGTTATTGCTTGGTGTCTCAAGGTGATACTTGAAAAAAAATTTGATTGATGTAGGCATTCATTGAATCTTATTTTCCAGGTTATTTCAAATGTTATTAAACACTGATAACTTAGTTAAACCCTTGGTGTGAGTAAGGCATAAAAAGTGGTTTTGTTGTTATTGAGTATACCACAACTATTCTGTTTTAGATAAAGGCTTATTCTGCAGCAGAGAAATCTTGCTCCCAAGTATTACAAATTGATCCTGATAATGTCAAAGCCTTGTTTAGGAAAGGAAAGGTGTGTAAAAAAAAGCCTGAATCACTTAACCAAAAAAAAAAATTCAGTGAAAGGGAAGCTGGCCACCCTAGTTTGTATACACTAATTTCAGTTAGAGTGGTGAAACACATCCAGTGCTTATACAGTTTCTACAGGTATAGGCCTGTAGCTCTGACATATTCAGTCAGTATTGGACAAACAGTGTTAGACCAGCAGAAACTAAGGGAGCAAATGAACCCCTCTCTTCAACTACTTAAAATGATGTGGAAAATCTATGATCAGAGTGAAAAGTTATCAGTTGTTGATCATAAATTATGTTTGCTTCAAAAATGATAGATCTTCCAGAAACCTTTGGTAAAATTGCCTATACCATAATTTTCAGACCAAGGCCAATGGTGGAAATATTATCATTTATTTGGGAGTAACACCTTATGTTGATAATTTTTACCTAGCGGTGTCTTTGTTGGATAGAGGTGTTCACCTTATCAATCTTTTGCTCACCTTATCCATCTTTTGCCATTCCTGTTCAGGCTCCAGTTGTTGAAAAGTTGGATAGTTCTTTTCACCCTATAAATCTCTATCCACTTGTTAGTGCAATTTCCCTTATCCACGGGATAGAGATTTATCCGATGGATAGCACTACCCACCTTTTCAGCAACTGGGGCCAGTTGTTTAAGTACTGTTTAAAACATGAATATTAGTGTATTATCAGGTTTCAAAACTCGAGGCAAAGATAATACATGACTGCAAATATTTTGAAGGGCTTCAAAATCTCTGATATAGATTACCCCATTCTTGCACTAATATTTAGATTTGGGGTTATTTTGGTCGAAAAAATTGGACGTAAAGTTTAGCCGTGTCTAAGACACTCATTAAACACTAAATTCTTTTGTTTTTTTTTCCTTATATATTACTAATGAGTTTTGTAAATTGTATTGTAAATCGTAATTTGTTTACCCACGGATCACTAAGGAGTTCAAAAGAACTCGTTGAAACGTGTCCGTGCGTTCCAGATCGAATCGGAATTTGAAAGTGTTGGTTTTAAGTACAGTAACAGTCATGAAGACAGGATGATATTTGGTTTCTTGTTTTTACTCTAAACATACTCAGGTTCTAGCAGGAAATGGTGAAACTGAACAAGCCCTTGTGTATATTAAAAAGGCAGATCAGCTGGACCCCAACAATAAAGTAAGTTTAAAATGGCTGATTTTAGTTTTAGAAAGGTGTCTTCAAGCAAACTTATCAATGTCAGTTAGCTTTTGTTATGGATGGTATTTCTCAGTAAAGACTCACTCTGGTCCCACTCTGGTCACTGGCTGGATTTGACCCAAAGACGTGATCACACTAGATGAATTTCACTGATATTTTCTTACTCCTTTCAGACAATCCGTGGAGAACTTAATCGACTCAAACAGTTACTGGCATCGGAAAAACGGAGTGAAAGAACTATGTACCAGCGAATGTTGGCTGATATGACTGGTGCGCAAGGAAACAAGAAAAATAAACGAACGGTAAGTGCTGCATTGATATTACTGCTTGCAAAAGCTCTGTAGTGGGGGGGGGGGGGGGG